ACGCGGTGCTACCACAGGAAGCTGGAGACGCCCTTCCTTTGGTGCCCCATCCTGCAGGAGGGATGCAATCAGAGCAGGCACCAGACCCAGCTTGCAGGCCATCTGGCTAACCACGCTGCCGCCTCTGATCAAGAGGAGGCTTTGAGCCAAGAATCAGTACCAACTGTTTTTCTGGAAACATCTCCAAATGTTTTCCAGCTACCGTTGAAAACGTATCCTCCAAGAAGGCTGGAACAGCAACTAGCTCCAATGGAGGTCTCGCTCTGCAACTGCACACCACGAGAAGGCCCCGTGCTGACAAAATCTGCTGGGGTTGTGGTAGCAGCTGAAAAATCAGCAAGTCAACAGTAAGCAAGAAACAGGAGCAAGCACTGGGAGCAGACAGTATCAGGAATACCAGCACTGCCTGATATTTACTTACTGACTCATACAGAGGAGGATCCATCTATTCAGGCTTACTGACCAGTACGTGAACAGGTAATAGAAGAGCTTATGAAATCACTGGGAGCTCAGCTCTTCCTGACCTCAGAGAACAAAGAAACATTATAGCAGCAAAATACCCGCTTTTCACTCTCCCTCTTTCTTTACCCTGTTGCACAATCTTTCTCCACAGATTAAAGCTGCACTTTTCACAAGATGTGGAAGCAGAAGAAAGAGGAGAGAGCAAACAGAAAAGCACAGACTACACCAGTATAAATATTTCCAAGTGAGATTCCCTAGTTTTCAAGAATTTTTTTTTTTGCAGAAGGGTTCACAGATAACATCTTTACCTTCAAAACACCCTTTATCCACACATGAACAGCATGCAGTATAACTGCAGACTTCTGCAATCACTCACACATCACAAGAACTTTTTTATATTGGAGATTATTATACAGAGACTTATTTGTGCAGAATTGATAGACTGCACTTAAAATATCCTTCCCTCAAAAAACAACTGAAGATCATTATACAAATACATAATCAGCCTCTTCACGTATAAGGAACACATAATGTAGAAGAAACTATGGCACTCCAAGATCTACAAGCATATTTTGAATGTTTAGACTGCAAACAGCTAAAAAAGCTTATTTTTTCCATATACATGGAAAACACTCGACTAACTTACAGATCTTGGAACACATCCTGCTTTTCTGTAGCATTAGATTAGCTTCCACATTATTAAGTAGAAAGCGTGAAACATCAATAGCAAGTTCCTATTTAAAGTCTTCCAGGAGTTCTCAGTGTCTAACTACATATAACAGAAGAAACTCAAAATCCATTTGTCCCAGCTGACAAAAAAAGATATTAAGTCGACCTCAGTTTGTACTTTAGAGCACTTCAATATTACTTTTCCCCACACACAGAGCTATAAGGAACACCCAGGGCTTAGAATTAATGAAAAATGAATCAGAAACAAAGCTCAAGAACACGGACCCAGTAATGCAAATCACTTTCAGCCAGGACTAATTTTCCCATACACAAAGTCCCATGGCTCTAATGTATGTAAATTAAGTTACTCATACATGTTCCCAAAACATTCCACAGCCCATCCTATTGAATCCAAAGAGGACGCTTGCAAAACACAGGCAACTAGTCAACACAAGAGAACTCAGCAACAGTTTGTAGTATGGGGGTTTCAGGTTTCCATCCTTTTATGCAGAATTGTGCAGATTTTACCAGAGACCAAACAGCACAAACACACGTGAACAGTGTTTCTCCCTCCAGCTACAAGTGTTTTCTTCCCCCAGTAGTAAGGCCCCCCAACATCACATCCCCTCCTATCTCTGTCAGGTGCTACACTCACCAGAGGCACATCAGTGCTACCACATATACAAATATTTAAGAAACTCACACGGATAACAAGACAGGGCTTCAAACCTGCAAAAACACAGGAAAACAGAGTTCAGTGCAGGGTTAATTTCTACCAGGCTTTTTTCCTCACTCCTTAAGGGATTTGAAAACAAGGGGCCTGTGACGCCAACACCGGACATTTTAGAACAATTTCTGTGCAGATAGAATGACAACTGACAATCACCCAGACCTATTTTTCACCATTTACACTCCACTATTAGCTTTGAGTTCATAGGTGCTAGGTTGCCCATACCAAAAAAATAGAAAAATTAATTATCAATAAAGTAAACAACAGAAAAGCAAATTTATTAACCTATTAAAAATCAGAATTAATGCTGCTAAGCAGGCAAACTTAGGCTTACATAGGCTTATGGCTTTATTTTATATGTTATTTATTAAAGTGACAGTAAAGTCTAAAACAAGACTGTCTCATAAATCCTGCTTTTATTTCAATGTTGAGTTCTGGACTTACGTGACATTTCCCATTTTGATTTCTATTATTAAAGGATTTTAAAACAACATTGTACGGTCACTGACTATAGCCCTAAGGGGCTGAGTACAAAAATAACATAAAAGACACCACAAACTTTACAAAATATAATTTTGATTTAATTTCATTCAAGCATTATGTTCTTTACTTTGGGGAAATTAATTTACCGTCTTTGACAGCAAGCACTCTTCTTCAGCTACTCTGAATGCTTATTATATCATTTGAGGTATGACTGGAACAGAACTTGAAAATGCCTTACCTAATTTAATACATTCACCAAACTAAGCAAAAGTTTGTCTTGCAAACTTAACTTTCTCATCCTGCAAATAACACACCTGCGTTTCCTCCACTCACCAAAAAATATCCATGTTCCCATTGGTTCACGTCTTTCACTAAGCACTCTCACTTTTTCAAGAGCTTCCAAATTAATGATAATTAATTGGTATGGTTGAAAATACTACCTCCTTCATACATATTTCTCCCAAGGATAAAGCATATATTTTCACAAGCAGGTTTTGTGGGCTGCGCCAGCCCAGGAAGGGAGTTGTATGCTAAAGCTGAAAGGAGGACGGGTCTATCTTTGGGAAGACCTGATGGTCAAGGCCCAAGGCGTTGGGCATCTCAGCTGTCGCATACAAAACCTACTCACCTTTAAGACATGTTAGTTTCCGGTAGAAAAGTGTGAACAGGCTCATTTTGGAAGGTGTAATGGTCCATCAGGTTTTCTTGTTAACTCTCTTGGCTATTCCTCTCAGAAACAGGTATTCTGGAGATACAAAAAGAACTTCAATTTAAAATACAGCGCTCTGGGATGAAGTTACTATGTTACATAAATGTTATGTTTTTCCTGTTTTTTTACTGGGCACGCTGAAAGGCCACCTGAAACCAACCTGATGGGTCCAGTCACTGAATTACTATGTTGTCTTCTCTCAAAGAAGGAGGCAAGGGCTTCTTTCTTTACCCCGCGACCTTCACAGCTTACACATTTACTATCGACATTACAGTAGCATATTGAGAATTTATCCTAAAGACTGGGTGAGAACAGGAAAGTGACTTAAGTCATACTGGTGCCAGAACTGAGTTTTGATAACTTTTGTGTTATGAACAGTCCCTTTTCACCTTGTCTGCTGCATTTTACATACTGACATATATTCACTACACTTAGGTTTATCTCACAAGCACGAACACAGAAATTTTCTGCTTAATTTTGCCAAGGTCCCCTCAATAATAGATGAGCTTCCATAACCTCATTAGCGGCACTTGGTTCCAACTGTGCAGCACAACCAGGGCACTTCTTAGCCTGCTTGGGGTTCTGAGGAGTTTGATATATGTTTGGAAAATAAGGCTGAAAAGGCAAAGCGAAAGCACTGGGACTGTAAATGAGCAAATGCCACATCAGAAACAAATTCCCTAGGAGGCCCATTTTGCAGCCAAAATAATTAGATCACTAGGAAGAATCATCCCAAGTAGATAAATGGTGTGTTACAAGATTAACCAAGGTCATGTTCTCTTATATCCAGCTTTTTAAAAAGATTCCTCCCCTGAAAACCTAACCCTAAGGCTCCATCCAAATTAAGAAATCCATTGTTGATGTACATCAGTGCAAACTGACTCAAAGCGTGCGCTAGCCCGTCAAGTGCTGACTGCCCAAGGAAAGGCCACATGCCTTCTAAGTGAGAGAAATCCGCATTTGAGAGCCACCTAGACTCTGTGACTGCTGCTGCTGGATGTTCAGAGATAACTACCAACTCATTAAAATCCAACATTAAAAGTTTATTAAATATGCAAACATTAATGGAATTGGGCTAGCAGCTACTTAGGCAGATAAAATTTCAACACAGCATGTCATACAGTTCTTGTTATCAATACTCTGTCCCTTTGGAAGTGTCCATGAAAGACTCACAACACTACTCAAGGCAGCAAACCCCTCCATCTCTTTTAGATTTCTCAGGTCACATTCTCAAGGTTCCCACTAGCCAGGAAGTCTAGGAAAACACAGCTCCTTCCCAATAATTACAGCTCAGTATATATTATCCATTTTCACTTTCACACTCGACTGCTTGAGATGCATAGTCTCCCCAAGATTTTTTTTTTTCCCCCTTGGCCATATCTGCAGGGCAAGTCCCACTCCTCTTTGCAGGCTCATGGGCATAGAGGTTTTGCATATACCCCAAACTCTTGTCAACTTGCTGCTGGAGTTTGAAAGAACTACAAAGAGAGGAGGAATAGAGTGCCATACAGAGACAGTACAGATTAAAGAACATGAGCCACTTAAAAGCAACTCTCCCGTAAGTTTGTGCATGCACATGTGTGTAGAGCTCTGCTTGGAGCTACTCTTTTGCAGCTATCTAAAAACATGTGTCAGAGTCCTCCATGCAAACAGCAGTCTCAGTACATTTTGCTCCACAAAATGCAGTTTCATTCCTGGGAGATGACTCTGCAAAGTCCCAGTGCTTGGTGAGTATCTGAACAAACCTCCAGGTTTTTGCTGTAGAGTGACATCAGACTTGGAAGTGTTCTTCACTAATACTATCAGCATAATCTGAGCTAACCCAGGGGGAAAGGAGGACAAGGAATATCTCTCATCACACAAAGCGTAAACAAGCTCCTAAGAGTCTCTAATGCACCTCCAAGTGACTCTGGCAATAGCGTTGCTCTCTCAGTAGAGTAGTTCTTCAAAGAACATCTAGAAGATTTAATCCTCTAATTATGAAAAAAAAAAAAAAAAAAAAAAGTCTTCTCTCAACACACAAGTGTGGTATAGCACCTCTGCCTTGGAGATGTGAGAATAGACTGAAATGAAATCTTAGGGAGCAACCTGGAAAAAGCATGACTCACCAGGAAAGAAAAGCATGATTTACCAGGAACGAAGAGAAATTAAGGAGTATAGCATACTGTGACTTCCAAAGAAAACACTAAACTGCTTGAGCACAAAGAGGGGAAACTGGCCATTTGGCTGAGCAGGTTCTTTACTACCATCTTTCTTGGTACTGATGACAGTCTCATAGTGGAGAAGAGCAGACTGTTTTAAGTGTCAAGAACTACCCAGCACCCAGCCTGTGCGATGCAACGTGACTCTGAACTCAGGGTTTTCGTTAGGTACTGCAACCACAGGGGCCTCCCACAAAATACGCAGAAGGTTCAAGGATGCCTTGGCCAGGAGGGAATCAACAAAATTACCCATCCATCATTTGATGCGCAGAACCTTGAGCAACAGCCGATTTTGGGTCAGACATACAACGGCCTCCCATTCCATGCATCAGGAAGATTAGATTAAATCTTAGATTTAGATTTTTTGAAACAGAACTGACAGTTCTTGTTAGAAATGAAGGCAAAGAGATCAACTTTGAGGTAATCCAGCTTCTGAAGAGTGTGCTGACCAAATCTGACACTCAACAGCCTGGGAAACGATCTTTGCTCTTTCAGTGTGTTCAGAACCACAAGAAAGCAACCAGCTCACCAGCAAGCTCAAGGCACTGGTTCCAAGATCAACCATTCCCTGATAAAGCAAAGGAAAACCTGTACAAATAATTTCATCTCTTAGTGACATCATGATGACTCTTTCTGTTGCAACTTGTGCATTCTGGCCCTAGACACAGGGGAAAACATAGAATCGTGGAATGGTTTGGGTTGGAAGGGACCTTTAAAGGCCATCTATTCCAACCCCCCTGCAGTGAGCAAGGACATCTTTAACTCAGTCAGGTTGCTCAGAGCCCCGTCCAACCTGGCCTTGAATGTTTCCAAAGAAGGGGCCTCCACTACATCTCTGGGCAACCCGTTCCAGTGTTTTACCACCCTCATTGTAAATAATTTCTTCCGTGACTCTGCAAACATTCCCTATGGCTCTGTATATATACAGATATCTCCTCAGTCAACTGCCTACTTGATCATCTTACTGAGCTCCTGAACTTGATTGCACTAATCACAAGAACACATCAAAACAGTTAACCAGCACGTTTTTCCTCCCATTACGTACAGGCAGGAACATCGAAACTACAGGACACTGTACCTTGACAAATGTAAATAACCCACTAAAAGAACACTCTAAGTGAACCAGGAAGGTCAAAGTACTCTGTCAGCTACATGACATACTTCACTTGAGAAGATACGAAGAGGGAGAAGTCCTCCCAGCAATCCTATGACTAAAGCAACTTTTAAACATTCTCAGTCCCAAAGGGGTGTCCTAATGCCACTGAGCAACACCGCAAACTTTAGCATTCAGATTGTTACAAGGAAAACAGGTGGAAAACAAATTATATTAAGGAAAACTCAGAAATCAATCTGATACCTGCTGAGGTCCACAGCACCACCAGCACGAGACCCCAGCACTATGTTTTCTCCATCTCCATCAACATTCAGGTGCTTGGCTGACCTGAAGCCAGCAGCAGCACTGGATACACAGCACCAGTGGGAAACTGCTCTTCAAGGGATACCCAAGTAGTCCAGAAATAGGGAAGGACATAACTGAGAGGTAACTTCATCCCCTTTAGGAAGGATATAACTGAGAGGAAACTTCATCCCCTTTAGCACTAAGCTGTCCTCTGCCACAGACCAAAGGCCAAAACTGTAGCAGCCACAGCACCAGGCACCAAATTAAGACAGTGACAATGCAACCTGACAAGATAGGCTGGCACAGTGATCCAGAGCTGCGGATGTCAGGGGCATTGACCTTCATCTATGAGTCGTAGGGAAAATCTGTTGAGCTAAGATAGAGGCAGCCATAGCTCGTGAGTCTCCTTCTCTGCAGATATTCAAAGCCCGCCTGGATGATGTCCCATGCAACATGCTCTAGGTGAGCCTGCTTTAGCAGGAGGGTTAGACTAGATGATCTCCTGAGGTCCCTTCCAACCCTTGCCATTCTGTGCTCTGTGAAGTCTCTGAAAGGTGGACAAGGTGCCTCTCAACAATAGTAACAAACCAATGGAGTAAAGCGAATGTTTTCTCACCAACTTGCTGCTGGATGACCCTGCTAACACGCTTCTTTGCAGAAGACAGGATCCTCTCTGACAGAACAACCGCCAAGAGCTGACCCAGCACAGGGAGGCCAAAGCTGACATTGCTACACTCCCCTCTGCTCATCTTGGAGGTTAGATAGGCTGGCCACCTTCTCCCCGAGGGAGCTCCAAAAATAGTGCAGACTAACTCAACGGAGCCCGCGCCTGAATAAACCACAGGGTCTTTGTTCACAGCTCACACCACAGCAGTACGCTCATGCAGTAGATGGATGCAAGGAGAAATGTAGGCCACACATGCAGAGAAAAAGAGATATCCAGATTTCAAAGATGTGATAGATCTCATTTTCAGCATCAGGAAATGAATACCCATTAAAACAGCCAGCAAGTGCTGGGGCACAAGCTCAATATGAGCCAGATGGGCTAAGGGAAAAACACATTTCATCAGAAAGTTCAAAAGTTGGGCTTTTTTTTTCCCCCTCACTAATCTGCCCGATGAATCATTAAAGAACAATCTTTGTGATGTAACTATGCAGACTTATACAAAGAACACTGGTAATTAGCTCTCAAAGTAATCCTCTCACCACCATCTGGATGTCAGCCTAAACCTTGACCTCAGTCACACCAAACATCCACGCATCTTTGAAACACACCTGAAAATGAACCACATCGCAACACTGAATTCACAAAGTGGAAAAAGTTGGCAGGAATGCTAAAAACCTGAACCACCTTTTTACTCCATGAGCTCTTCACAGACAGCTCTCGAAATGCTCATTCCAGAATATCCAGAGAGTGAGCAAGGAGCAATCCATGCCCATTGCAGTTAGGGAAATGGTTTCAAAACGAATAAGTAAAAAGGCAGGATTTATCAACCCAATCCTACATCTAAACCAAAATGTTTCTTCCACTGAAACCTCAGTTTATAGCAAACAAAGTTGACACATGACATACCCAACCTTCTTCCAATAACACAGGAGAAAAATCTTCCTAGAACTAGATTCTGACAGTAAACCAGACTTACCAAAGACATAAAATAACTTATTCACCCACCCATGTATAAACAGCTCAAAATATCTTACTATGAAGGGATGCAGAAATTCCTTCACCTAAAGCCCCTTGGATGACTGGCTCATTTTTTATTTTTTTTCCCCACAAACAACCTCCTGATTAGCTTGAAACTCTTATTCCACACTGGCAAATAAGAAAGCCTAAGACGTCTCCCACCTACAAAGCTTCTTAGCTCAAGAAAAATTAGTTTTCTTTAATATACAGCTCTGTGTTGCATGCTGAGCTCCCCACAGCAAAGCATTCAAGAATTATACATGCCACATCACCAAGGAAAAAAATTTATCTCACCAGTTCCAGAGGAATTCTTCTATTTTCAATGCAGTTTAGCAACCAGATTTTAGACCTTTAAGAAAGCCCACCACAGCAAGGGAAGAGGCACAGAGCAGGCTGGAAATACTGAACCAGTTACGCTTAGTTCATATTTGAAAGTGAATTTTTGCAAGAATGAGAAATGTTTATTTTCCTCAAGTGATCACGTGTATATAGAACACAAAGAGCCTTCTATACTGGGAGGCATGGTCCCAGAGACAGCTGGCACACAGAATTTCTTCCAGCTGAAGGTATGTTTAAGTATAAGAGCAAGATTAGAGAGGACCACCAGACTCAGCACCAGCGATGAGCCCCCAAATCCTAGTCATTTCACTATTGAGAGAGAGGCAGGGAAGGACTGTCACCACTCCCAGGTACAAACTTAATTACCTACTCACATCGTGCTGCAGAGACTACCAACGCTGGGCACGAGCATACTACAGGAAGGTTTATGCTTACGTAGTTAAAGATGACACTGCAAAAACCACTTTTTTACATCCTTACTTCATGCTTTTCTTTAAATTATATTTTAATTAACCTTTATCTTTCACAGAGACAAGAAAGAGACAGAGGAATTAAGTCTACATTTAACCAGCTACAAGCATCACCACGCTGAGCCTCCCCTGCAATCAGCTGCTTCTGAGCACAGCAAGACTGGCTTCAGTCTGGTAGGGGGCAATTTTAAGTTGTCATTATGTTTGCCACGATACCTTTCTCCTGCCTGCAGCTTCGGCCAGGCAAGACCAAAGTCCTATACAGCAAGTCAATATTTAACTTAAGTACTGTACTGTTGAGACCCGCCTAGAGTATTTGATATAGTAACTTATTAAATCTTACACTATCTTCACTAACAAAGAATAATAAAGGGCAATTTATCTTCTTTATAAGAAGTTGTAAAGATAAATTCTACAAGCACAGCAGTTAGATTCAGCTTTAATAATTTTAATAAAGGACCTGAAAGAAAATGTTTCCATGAAAGGAGTTCTAAACAATATGATGTGTACACCGCAGGATAGGTTCAAGACAGGGGCAGGAGCCACAGTGCAAAAACTGTTTAAAACTAAACCACACCAAGTTCTGGAAATTCAGCACTTTTTCAAGAAGTAGTATTTTGACACTGCAATTAAGCCATTAAACTATGTCACAAAGGCTTATATAAAACTCTTGGACATTACAAGGATAAGTATTTCTCCTCTACTAAACAACTGAATAAAATCTGTGAGCTGCTGTACAAACATAGACTTTAAAATAATACAATAAACAAAAGACTGATTTTTTTTCCAGAACAATTCTTCTTAGTCTTAGAGAAGCTAACCAAACTGTTTAGATCCCCCCAAAATTCTTTGCATGCCTCTGATGTAAATAAAGTTTTGCTAATAGTCTCATCTTTTATAATCTTTTTGGACAGAGATCATTCTGATGTCAGAAGCAGGTGTTAAAATACAGTTGAGACCAAAACTGAGCAACTGAGAGCCATTTTTTGTTTACTGCATCTGTTTCAATTCTTTATCCACCCAGGGGTTTTTTTTGTCTAAATGCAATTTCTTTATTTACTGCCAGTACTCCCATCTTTACATTTAGCAACAACTGCTTTTGTTCTCTAAAGCTGAACATCTGTTGTAGCAATGATACCAGTGGAGCTGTTGGTGATAATCATGACAGGCAAATTTCTAAAAATTCTCCAGTTCTACATTTGTAACCCTCCACATGTACCAGTTTGCTCATCACCCAAAAGTAAACTTTTTCAGGAAACAAAGTAAAAATGTTTCTACTGTGAAAGAGTGGAGGAGGGGAGGGGGGGGAAGTGGCTGAGAATATTAGCCACATCATGAAATAAGGAGACAGACAGTACCACACAGCTTTCATCTAAAAAAATACCAAAACAAAACCAGCAACAAAAAAAAACCCACCAAAAAAAACCAAGCCACAGGCACTAGGCCAGCTCACCTCTACAGGGAAGTGCAGCCTCAGGGAACGCTTTCATGAGCAGCTTAGCTGATTTTGATCCCTGACCCTGCCTAATGGGCGGACCTGCCCCTCCCTGTCACACACACCAGCATTAGCACAGACACACACTGCTCATCAGTTCACTTTCCGTATGGTGCTAATTGCTGGCTGGTTTGGTGGATGAACCCAACTGACCACACAACAACTTATACCTGCACACAAGACGCAATGAAGTCAGAGGGCTGGAGAAGAGCTTTTCAGCAGTAACATCATCTTAAACCTGCTCTCTTGAAACTCCACGCTTACTGACACACATAGTCACCATGAAAATGGCACCTTTCCCATCCCAAATGCCTGCTCAGAGCAATCCGTTCAGGAATCAAATCCATCTCAGAGTGAACGCAGGCAGTATTTATCTTTATTTTTTCACTCTGCTTTGAGAATGAGATCAGTATATTAATGCTAGTCTATCTCCGAACTAGTAAAACTAGAGGATAAAAGAAGAACAACTGCAAACAAAGTCACAACAAGGTCTTAGTCGTTTCCAGCAGCAAAACTCCCACAAAGCTCAGATGAGAAAGGAGGCTGGCAGGTTCCTATCCATTTTTTCTAAACATCTTATTTTCACTGTACTACGCTTGCAAGTGTTACTTATAGCCATTTCCATCCACGTAGCAAAAATAAGCTAGAGGTACTAGATTCTGCCCAGGGAACTGCCTTTCCCTATAAGAAAGCATGATGCTGTCTTCTTTCAGTTTTAAGTGCCGCGCTTCTTACCTGTTATCGCCTTGTTCCACTCTACTGGGCTAAGCCACAGATAGTCCAAGCGAAGCGTCGGTAAAGCTGTCCCTTTCACCTTCCAAACTTCTGTCAGATGAGAGAAGCATCGAAATCACTGCACTTTATTTTACTGAACAGGGCACAAAACCATTGAAGCCTGTAGTGATTCTTTTTTTTTTTTTTTGACTTGCCAACAGACACCCCAGCCTTAGCTCAGTCACGATCTGCTTCAGATTCTGTCTGGAGATTTACTGAAAGGCTCCCTCCTTCCCGGGGAGGGGAGATAACACCCTGCGGTGGTACAGCTGCCTCAAAACAGGCGCTGCCAACACCTCGCTTCTTCACAGGGCTGAGAGACAGCCAGGGCCACGGATGCGACTCTGACTTCTTTGTTTAAAAACGAAAAACTCCTTTTTTTGTTGTTGGGTGTTTTGTTTGGTTTTTTTTTTGAATACGCAAGCGAGGAAGCTCCGCGCCTCAAACCCGGAGCGGCCCAACCCCGCCGCGGCCCGCGAAGAGCAGAACGACGCCCGGG